TACATCTATATATCATATATATACATAATATATCTCTAGATAGAGATTGTATATCTACATGATACACATATAAAATATGATCTATCAGTTATATAACATACCCATATATCAGTATACACACACATGCATGTGTGCATGCAAGTAAATAAATAAACAGAGGAAGAGGGAAATCTCTTCCTTACAGTACAATGCCAACTAATAAATGCAGAAAGAGTAGTGGAGTTAGAAAGTTCACCTTTGGCAACCATCATAAAATACTTGTCTTAAGAAAGAATCATCAATAGAGGCAAAAACTAGTGGGCGAAGGTTTTATGGGGAATAGGCTGTTTACACAGTCTCAATACATCTCTCCAGAAGATAATTACTTAGTGTAAAAAAACACAGAAGCCAGGCACGGTGGCCCACACCTGTAACCCCAGCACTGTGGGAGGCTGAGGCAGGTGGAATGCTTGAGCCCGGGAGTTTAAGACCAGACTGGACAACATGGCAAAACCCCGTCTCTACTAAAAATACAAAAACTTAGCCAGGCACGGTGGCACACACCTGTGGTCCCAGCTACTTAGGAGGCTGAGGTGGGAGGATCACCTGAGCCAGGGGAGGTGGAGGCTGCATTGAGCCATGTTCATGCCATAGCACTCCAGCCCGGGCAACAGAGTCAGACCCTGTCTCTAAATAAATAGGAAATTCACAGTGTAGAGATCTGCTAGTGCCTCAGCCAAGCCATCAGAGTCAGCAGCTGCAGGAACAGGACAGACAGACACGGCTTCTGATATGAGCCATGGAGAAGGACACAGTGTCTCCCGTAGGGTATCTGCTAAAAGTGTAAACCCTGAGCCTCATGGCGAAGAAACACCAGACAAACTCAGGTTCAGGGACATTCTTCAAAATATTGGCCAGCGATCTTTAACTAAAAAAGTCAACATCACAAAAGGCAAAGATAGGCTGGGGCCAGTGGCTCACACTTGTAATCCCAGCACTTTAGGAGGCTGAGGTGGGCTGTTCACCTGAGGTCAGGAGTTCAAGACCAGCCTGACCGATATGGCGAAACTCCAGCTCTACTAAAATTTTTTTTTTTTTTTTTTTTGAGACGGAGTCTTGCTCTGTCACCCAGGCTGGAGTGCGGTGGCCGGATCTCAGCTCACTGCAAGCTCCGCCTCCCGGGTTCACGCCATTCTCCTGCCTCAGCCTCCTGAGTAGCTGGGACGACAGGCGCCCGCCACCTCGCCCGGCTAGTTTTTTGTATTTTTTAGTAGAGACGGGGTTTCACCGTGTTAGCCAGGATGGTCTCGATCTCCTGACCTCGTGATCCGCCCGTCTCGGCCTCCCAAAGTGCTGGGATTACAGGCTTGAGCCACCGCGCCCGGCCCCTACTAAAATTATAAAAATTAGCTGGGCATGGTGGCACACGCCTGTAGTCCCAGCTACACAGGAGGCTGAGGCGGGAGAATCACTTGAACCTGGGAGGCAGAGGTTGCAGTGAGTCGAGATCATGCCACTGTACAAAAAAAAAAAAAAAAAAAAAGGCAAAGATAAACTAAGAAGCAATTCCAGATGCAAGGACACTAAATATGAAAGCTTCCCGGTGCGGTGGCTCACACCTGTAATCCCAGGGCTCTGGGGGGCCGAGGTGGAAGGATCAGTGGAGCTCAGGAGTTGAGATCAGCCTAGGCAACATGGTGAAACCCCATCTCTATAAAAAAAATAAAACCGAAACCAAAACCAAAAATTAGTCGGGCATGTTGACACATACCTGTGATCCCAGCTACTCCAGAGGCTGAGGCGGGAGGATCTCTTGAGCTCAGGAGATTGAGGCTGCAGTGAGCCCTGATTGCACCACTGTACTGCAGCCTGGACGACAGCAGATGAAGACCCTGTCTCAAAAAAAAAAAAAAAAAGAGAACTGAACATACCTCTTGACCGGAGATTTTCTTTTGCCATAAAGGACATTACTGAGACAACTGCTAAAATTTGAACAAAGTCTATATATTAGATGATATATTGCACTAATATTAATTTCCTGATTTAGAGAATTATATCATGGCTATGTAAGAGAATGTCCTCATTCTTAGGCAACATACACTCAAAGTATTGAGATAAAAGGAGTGTGATGCCTGCAATTCTCTCTTAAATAATTTAGAGATGAGATACACGAAGAAAATGACCATGCAATCCAATGCTAGCGTCTGGGAAGCTGAATGAAATGTATATGGGAATTCTTTGTATTCTTCTTGCGACTTTTCTGCCAGTCTGAAATTGTGTCAAAAAAATAAAAATAAAAAACACACAGGTGGGGTGTGGTGGCTTGCGCCTGTAATCCCAGCACTTTGAGGAGCTGAGATGGGAGGATCGTTTGAGCCCAGAAGTTCGAGACCAGCCTGGGCAACATGGCCAAACCCTGTCCCTACAAAAAATACAAAAATTAGCTGCGCGTGGTGGCGTGCACCTGTGGTCCCCGCTACTTGGGAGGCTGAGGTGGGAGGATTGCTTGAGTCTGGGAGGCAGAGGTTGCAGCGAGCCTAGATTGTGCCATTGCACTCCAGCCTGAGTGACAGAGTGAGACTCTGTCTCAAAACAAACAAACAAACAAGAAGTCAGTTTAGAAACTCAAAAGCTGACATTGACCCCTTTGTTCCTGCTATTGGGCTGTGGCCTCCCTTCCCTGGCATAGAAGCCAGGAAAGCAGTGGCTGAAGCAGTGAAGGCTTGGGAGACAGTTTTAGAGGAGAAAACAGTGCAGGGAATGCCAAAGGCATTGGTCAAAATAATAATATTAGGAGCAGTAACCATCTGTACGTCACAGGACATATGCCACCCATTGAGGATGCTGTGGGCAGAGCTGGAAGCGTTTCACAACCATCAGCCCTTATTATCCAATCTTGCTGATGTTTGCAATTGACCTGCACAATCTTAACTTACTCAACATTTTAAAAGCCTGGTATTTATTAAAGAGGAAAGCTATCCCCACCATGCATGGAAAAAGACCGCACTAGAGCCTGAGAGGAAGGCAGGCGCCTTCACCGGGGAGAGGAAAGGCCAGCCCTGTGCTCCCAAATTGTTCTAGGGCTTCAGTGAATTGGGGCATTCGGGGAGATGTGACTGTGCCTGAGTGAAAAGGGGCTGCCTTTGGGCTGATGCCTGGAAAGAAGGTGACTGTTATGTACTAAATTTCCCACCCTGAACAAACACGTAGGGTTTTGTTTGTTTTGTTTTGTTTTGTTTTGTTTTTGAGATAAAGTCTCACTGTATTGCCCAGGCTGGAGTGCAGTGGCGCAATCTCAGCTCACCACAATCTCCACCTCCTGGGTTCAAGCCATTCTCCTACCTCAGTCTCCCAAGTAGCTGGGATTACAGGCGCCCGACACCACGCCTGACTAATTTTTGTATTTCTAGTAGAGACAGGGTTTCACCATATTGGCCAGGTTGGTCTCGAACGCCTGACCTCAAGGAATTCACCCACCTCGGCCTCCCAAAGTGCTGAGATTACAGACATGAACCACTGTGCCCAGCTCGTAGGGCTTTGAAATGATTCCAGACACTTCCACAGGTTGCTACGCGAGTGATGCGTTTTGCTGTGCTAAGAACTTGATGCACCCATTCTTCCCTGGAGAATGTGGAAGGGAAGGCCCCATCTGCGAGCTCCTGATCCTCACGACTGGACTTCCAAACACATGTAGACCTGCGAGTGGATGGACCCCCTTGGGAGCTCTGGCTGTGGCCAGCTGCATCCTCGGCCTCTTCTCCCAAGGCTGGGAGCTCCAGCTGTGACAGGTCACCCTGCCAGCCTTGGAGCTACTCTCAGAAGCCTCTGGCCAATGCTGGCACTGCCTTCTAGGGACCAGGGACCTTACAGTGCTCCTGAGAACAGCTGGTAGAAGGTGCACCTCAAACTGAGGCCTGCTGCCATCCTAAGTGAGCAAGTAGGCCTTGATCATTCTGGAACTCACTCACTGCGGGGTTAATGGGCTTCGTCTGTCGAATGTATTCTCTGTGAGGTTGGGTCTCACTCTCTCCTTGTTTAAGCACTGGGAACCTAAGGGGAAAAAAATCTCTGTGTAGCAATAAACTGTGTGATTTGTGAAATCATACTTTGATCATTTCCTTATTGTAACCACACAAAACAAACCCTAACCCCCAATGTATTTTGTGTGTGTGTGTGTGTGTCTCGCTCTGTTACCTAGGCTGGAGTGCAGTGGCACAATCTCGGCTCACTGCAACCTCTGCCTCCCGGGCTCAAGCCATTCTCCTTCCTAAGCCTCCTGAGTAGCTGGGATTACATGCGTGTGCCACCATGCCCAGCAAATTTTTGTATTTTTTTTGTAGAGATAAGGTTTCCCCATGTTGCCCAGACTGCTCTTGAACTCTTGGACTCAAGTGATCCTCCTGCCTCAGCCTCCCAAAGTGCTGGGATTACAGGCATGAGCCAGCCTGTGTATTTTAAGGTAGGGCCTTTAAAGAGGTAATTCAGGTTAAATGGGTCCTAAGGGTAGGGCCCAGACCCAGTATGACCAGTGTCCTTATAAGAGAGAGAGACACCAGGAGTGTATATGCCCAGAGGAAAGGCCGTGTGAGGATATGGCCAGGAGGCAGCCACCTGCAAACCAAAGAGAGGCCGCAGAGGAAACCAACGCTGTTGTCACCCTGATCTTGGACTTCCAGCCTCCAGAACTGTGAAGAAGATATCTCTGTGGGTTAAGTCACCCAGTCTATGGTATTTTGTTAGGGCAGCCGGAGCTTAGACAATGACAGAATGGCCTTGAGTCCGACACCACTCAGAATGTGATCTGGGGACTGGCAGCATTAGCGTCAGCAGGATCTTGCGAGAAACTGACAGTCCCTGGCCCCATCCCAGCCTTGCTGAGCCTGAATGTGCATTTTGGCAAGTTCCTCCCTCCTTCCCGTGGATGGGGTGGAGGTCTCCACCAGGCCCTGGCTGTCGGCATCTCCACGTATATGAGACATCCTAGGAGAAGCACCCAACACAAAACAGGCCAGAGCCTGAAAGATGGTTTTAAAAGTTTTATTTCACAAATTGTTCAGATTTGTTCATAAAAGATATGTTACAGGAACATTTTAGAAATCAAACCAGTTTTACTGAAACAATTGCAACAACGTGGCCCCTGTTCATGCAAAGCACAAAAAACATTTACAATAAAACTTTGTACACAGGAAGTAGCAAAATACATCATTTTTCATAGAAAAAAGCACACACATACACTGCGGGCCGAGTGAGCCTACAGACAATATGAGAAACCAGCACACGCTTTGGAATACGGTAGGGCAAAACTCCTAAGGAAGCCGAAAATGTTCATTCTGGGGGCAGGAGAGCCAGGAATGTCATTGGCTTGGTGCAAGATCTTTTTAAACACAGGGTAAGTGCTGATAGCATGAGGAGCTCTAGTCCACACACAGGAGAGGTGGCGCTAGGGACAGGGCTTATAATTTATAGTCTTGTTTCCATTTTCTGAAGACAAATATTCCAGTTTCAAAATGTTTGTGGGGATGATAAAGACAGCCAGGTCCATGGCTGGGCGCAGTGGCTCATGCCTGTAATCCCCGCACTTTGGGAGGCCGAGGTGGGTGGATCACCTGAGGTAAGGAGTTCGAGACCAGCCTGGCCAACATAATGAAAGCCCATCTTTATTGAAAATACAAAAATTAGCCGGGCATGGTGGCTCACGTCTGTAGTCGCAGCTACTTGGGAGGCTGAGGCACGAGAATTACTTGAACCCGGGAGGCGGCAGTTGCAATGAGTGGAGATCACGCCACTGCACTCTAGCCTGGGCAACAGAGTGAAACTTGGTCTCAAAGTGGGGGAAAAAAGAAAAAAAGAGATAGCCAGGTCCTGCTCTGGGCGAGGACTTTCTATCCTGCTAGGAAGGCCCAGTGAAGGAGGCGTTAAGGAACCTGGGGACTTTATTTTTAAATGATGGGGTCAACTCACAATGGAAGTTTCAAGTCCCCCTTGGGTGGGATGTTTTGGAAGTGAGACCACTGGGATTGTCCTGGACTTTTCACTCATTTGGCAAACCACACTAGGTGATCTAATTTATCTTGCAGACACAGACACAGCCACAAAAGTCCAGCAGCAGAGCACCCAGCACCCAGAAGTTTCCCAGATGTTTGGTGGTAGCTGGACTCACGACCTGACAGGCTGACCAAATTCTTCCTCTCCGACATTTGGGGCTGAAGAGTCAGTACCTATGAATTACGACTAGCCTACAATGCACAAAGCGCAGATAGAATCCTGCAAATTTTAGCTCAGTCAGGCTCAGAGTTGAACTGCTTTTTGCCAACTCCTTAAAAGGGGTGGGTTTTTGTTTTGTTTTAAACCTATTTACCTTCAGATTCTGCATTTATTAGAAAGGCAATCAAAGAAAGAAGCCATCACCTAGGTGCCCAGGTAGAGTTTCTTGTCCAGTCTACAGTATCTTAGTTTTTTGCTTTCGGCTAGTTCTTTCGCCTAAGAAATATTTTGAATCAAATTTGACACTAGCATTCGCCAAAGTGATCTACTGGCTGGCCTGGTGGTAGAGAGTGGAATTTTCACCTTCTGCAAAAAAATGCTATTTACAAAAGGGTATTTCATTTCACTGTGGGCTTTTGGTCTGGGCTCATGAAGCACTTTTATACAGTGATGGCAGCCAGGACGTACTACACTCCTCAGCACCTCAGGAACGTTTGGCAAGAGTCGTTTCACAAAAACAGGAAAAGAGATCCTTCTAGTGTATTCCCATCTCTCACTGTCATGAGGCCACAGGACGGTTTCATAACCACAAACTGAGCTGCTAACCTCGGGGAGGAATGTACCAAAGACTCCATTCCTCCCACAGCTGAAAAAATAGGTCATTGGGTACATGGGGAATCTGCACATTTAATTGTCATTTTTAAAAGGAGCAAAGAGCAGCCCTTCTTTGGTTGTTCCCAGACATCTCATCTCAGTGGAACCTTATGAGACCAGGAGTTAAGAAGTGGGCTTCAAACAGGATCGCTTGCAAAGAAAAGTCCTGGGTGTGAACCAGGACACGTAAACCAGTCTGAGGCAGGGTGGGAGCCACAATGGGTAGGAGGTAAAGAAAGGGTCCTAATCCTTAGTCCTCAACGGGACCAAAGGTCACGGCAGAAAACAGGTGGGCCACAAAGACGAAGGACCTGACAAAGACAAGATACATCTCTGAAGTGACTGCTGAACTCTACATAAACCAGCACTGCTGTGTATAGAGCCGGCCTGAACGCGGCCACTGAAGGGGGCCCGTGGCAGGCCGCCAGCAAGGACACGTGCCAGGGCAGAGCCGGGGTCTCTCATACCCCCAGCCCTCTTATTCTAGCCCATTTGTCTGTCTGACCAGCAAACATTAAAACTATTTTTCTCTGTTGGCAGGGACGGACTGTGGTTTTTATTTTTAAATAACTACCTTCTACTCATTCCTGAAACTCACCGGCACTTGCTCGAAAGGCCGCTTCCGACACTGTGAATGCTTCACAATTGCGAGCTCCAAATGGTTTGTTCTCTTGGCAGGGGGGTTGAAATCAACTTCCTCCACCAACAGAAGAACACATAGCAAGGAACATTTTGGGCAACTGTCCCCTTTAAGAGACAGGTCAGATCTCTAAAGGAGAGAGGGCACCCAGATGGAGACCCTGGGGCCCCAGCAGGATTGGGCACCAGGGGTCCAGCTGAGCACCCTGGGATTCTGTCGCTTCAGTGAGGGGATGAGATGTCACCTCACCCAAAGGCCACAAAGTGATGGACACTGAACATCAGTCAAAGGAAGCTTCCTGACTCTCCATATACCCCTTCCCACAATGACAAAATAAAAATTAAAGCAAAACCCCGAAGCCCTCTTGAAGACGCCCCTTCTCCCCTGGTGCTGGAAATTCACTGCCTGACAGCAAAGATCCGGAAGGCCTTTCCATCCCGAGGAGTCCCCAGGCTGAAAAAGAAGAAAGAGGGCCCGTTACTGAGAGATCCGGAGGGCCTCCTGCAGGAACTCTGGCTGGGCAGGGAGACCTGGGTGTCCCCTTCTTGATCCCGTAGTGGAAGAGCCATGGCCAAGGGACGCTTCCCCACAGCCACCAGAAACAGAGCCTGCCTTGGGTTGAGAACAGCTGGCAAGTCCCATTTTCTTTGCACATGAGCATCTGTCTGATTCTAGGTCAGGGCTGTTAAGTTATTTCCTTTGAACTCAGGGATGTGCTGGCCCCAGTCTGTCTGGATTGGACTCACCCTCCGAGAATTCTGCTTGCTTTCACTACCACCTGTCAACCGGAACAGTGGTGTCTTGGGAGAGATTAACGCGCTATCTCAGCACCACTGCACATGCCGGGTGCTTCACCGCCTTTCACCTTCCTCCGGAGGGAGCTGTTATCCCTCGTTCACAGGGGAGGAAACGGAGACACCAGGAAATGAAGTCATTTACCCAGGGTCCCACAGCTAGTAAAAACCGCCCTCTCACAAGAGGAGTTAAATCCGTCAGCTAATCAAAGACGATTTTTAAAAAAGAGTTTTAGGCCAAGCGCGGTGGCTCACGCCTGGAACCCCAGCACTTTGGGAGGCCGAGGCGGGCGGATCACCTGAGGTCCGGAGTTCAAGACCAGCCTGGCCAACATGGTGAAACCCCGTCTCTATGAAAAATACAAAAATTAGCCGGGTATGGTGGTGGGCGCCTGTAATCCCAGCTACTCAGGAGGCTGAGGCAGGAGAATCACTTGAACTCGGGAGGCGGAGGTTGCAGTGAGCTTAGATCACACCATTGCACTCCAGTCTGGGGGACAAGAGTGAGACTTTGTCTTGAAAAAAAAAAAAAAAGAAAAAAAAAGAAGCTTTATTGGTCAGGCACAGTGGCTCACACCTGGAATCCCACCACTTTGGGAGGCCGAGGCAGGTGGATCACTTGAGGTCTGGAGTTCGAGACCAGTCTGGCCAACATGGTGAAACCCTGCCTCTACAAAAAAATTAGCCAGGCATGATGGTGTGCCCCTGTAATCCTAGCTAGTTGGAGGTTGAGGCAGGAGAATCACTTGAACCTGGGAGGTAGAGTTTGCAGTGAGCCAAGATTTTGCCACTGCACTCCAGCCTGGGCAAGAGTGTGACTCTGTTTTTAAAAAAAACCAAACCGGCTTTCTCAAGTGTAACATACCTTGTAAACTTATCCTTTCTAAGTGTACAATTCAACGGTTTTTAGAGATTTTATATGGTTGTGCAATCATCTCCACAATCCAGTGTTAGATAATTTTTAAAAATTGTTTTAGACACAAGGTCTGTTACCCAGGCCAGAGTGCAGTGGCATGATCATGGCTTACTTCGGCCTTGACCTCCTAGGCTCAAGCGATCCTCCCTCCTCAGCCTCCTGAGTAGCATGTCACCACGCCTGATTGATACATTTTATTTTTTGTGCAGATAGAGTCTCACTATTTTGCCCAGGCTGGTCTTAGACTCCTGGGCCCAAGTGATTCTCCTGTCTCAGCCTCCCAAAGTGCTGGGATTATGGGTGTGAGTCACCATGCCAGGCCTAATGGTGTCTTTTAAGGCATAAAAGTTTTAAACTTTGATAGAATTCAACTTATCAATTTGTTTTCATTTATAGATTGTGCTTTTGGCATCATATCTAGTAAACCATTCCAGGTCATGAAGGATTTATACTTGCTTTCCTAGACTTCTGTAATTTTTAGCTCTTATATTTCAGTCTTGGATCCATTTTGAGTTAATTTTTATATATGGTGTGAGGCAAAGGTCCAACATCACAGTTTTACATGTAAATATCTAATTGCCCTTGCATCATTTGTTGAGAAACTATTCTCTGCCCACTGAATGGTCTTGGCACTGTTATCAAAATCAATTGACTAGAAGTGTGACGGTTTATTTATGGACTTCCAATCATGTTCTTTTTTTTTTTTTTTTTTTTTTTTAACCTTTTTTTGAGACTGAGTCTTGCTCTGTTGCCCAGGCTGGAGTACAGTGGTGTAATACTGGCTCACTGCAACCTCTGCCTCCCAGGTTCAAGCAATTCTCTGTCCTCAGTCTCCCAAATAGCTGGGATTACAGGGGCATGCCACCATGCTGGGCTAATTTTTGTATTTTTAGCAGAGATGGGGTTTTGCCATGTTGGCCAGGCTGGTCTGGAACTCCTGACTTCATGATCCTCCCACCTCGGCCTCCCAAAGTGCTGGGATTACAGGCATAAGCCACCGTACCAGGCCCGATCACGTTCTCTTGATCTCTGTCTGTCCTGATGTCAGCACCACCATCTTGATTATTGTCACTGTATAGGATGATTCAGGATTGGGAAGCCTAAGTGCCCCCTCCCACTTTGATCTTCTTCTTTTTTTTTTTTTTTTTTGAGACGGAGTCTTGCTCTGTCACCCAGGCTGGAGGGCAGTGGCCGGATCTCAGCTCACTGCAAGCTCCGTCTCCCGGGTTTACGCCATTCTCCTGCCTCAGCCTCCCGAGTAGCTGGGACTACAGGCGCCACCACCTCGCCCGGCTAGTTTCTTTCTGTATTTTTTAGTAGAGACGGGGTTTCACCGTGTTAGCCAGGATGGTCTCGATCTCCTGACCTCGTGATCCGCCCGTCTCGGCCTCCCAAAGTGCTGGGATTACAGGCTTGAGCCACCGCGCCCGGCCCACTTTGATCTTCTTGCTGTGGGCACAGCCTTCTGGAACACCAGGGATGCCTGGGAGCTTACCAAGGGCCACCATGGCTGTCTCATTCTCTAGATCCTCCCCGATTTTCTGCCCCAGATGATAACTGCACATTTCGACTAACTGGCCTTCCTGTGTCTTGGCCACCAGGTTTGATACTGTTTCTGACAGCGGCCAGAGGTGTGTGGTTTTCCTGGCTCTGCTTTAAATCAAGAAAACCGCTGGTTGGCACAGTCCCATCCTCGTAGAACTTCTAGCCATAGGAACTGATGGGGGTGAACAGGAGCAGTCCCAGGCTCAGACACCACAGATCCCTCTGTTCTTACCTGAGCTCCACATTTTTTTGAACAAACACCTCCCTGTTTGTTGTATGCCTCTGTGGTGTGTTTCTGGGGTCCTGAAACAGCTGTTTTTGCACACTGCTTTTGGGAAGAAGATTTCCCATGCATCCTGCTTTGGCATTCTGTAAATCTCACCTCTGGAGCGCATCTTCCAGATGCGAGTCTCCATCCCCACACTAACATTTAGTAACTGTGTAACGGTGGGCAAGTCGCTAAGTCTCTTTGGGCTTATTTTTTATTTTTATCCACCTCCCGGGTTCAAGCGATTCTCCTGCCTCAGCCTCCCGAGTAGCTGGAATTACAGACATGCGCCACCACACCCAGCTAATTCTTATATTTTTAGTAGAGACAGGGTTTCACCATATTGGCCAGGTTGGTCTCGAACACCTGACCTCGTGATCCGCCTACCTCAGCCTCCCAAAGTGCTGGGATTACAGGCGTAAGCCATCAAGTCCAGCCCTGCCTCTGTGGACTTCTAAGGATACTTTCCGGAATGTTCTGTGACAGTGCCGATGTTTGGGGGTACCTGGGTTATGGGGGAAGGTCCAGGAAGGGGCCAGGCTGGAGAGGAGACCCAGAAGGTGGGAGGCAGGGAGTGTTAAATTGACGGGAGGCCGTTGTTTTGGACTGGGCTAGGGCCGACAGACCAAACCAAATCAGATTGGAGTTGCCCTGCTAGGTGCCCCTCATCAAACTGAACTTAGAAATGGGCTGGTTTTAGGCCAGCCACGGTGGATCATTCCTGTAATCCCAGCACTTTGGGAGGCTGAGGTGGGCAGATCACTTGAAGTCAGGAGTATGAGACCAGCCTGCTCAACACAGTCAGCCCCCTACTAAAAATACAAAAATTAGCTGGGCATGGTGGCAGGTGCCAGTAATCCCAGCTACTTGGGAGGCTGAGGCAGGAGAATCGCTTGAACCCAGGAGGTGGAGGTTGCAGTGAGTGAGATCACACCACTGCACTCTGGCCTGGGCAATAGAATGAGACTCTGTCTCAAAAAAAAAAAAAAAAAAAAAAAAGCAATGGGCCGATTTTCCAAAAGTAGAAGATACACAGTAGCAACCAATCCAAAGGGCTCCAATCCATCTGAGCAAGCAGGATAGTGTGGCCTCCCTGCTTTAATCCTACAAGGAAGGTAACTGGGACGACCCATCTGAATTTTGTTGTTTCTTTTTTTTTTGAGACGGAGTCTCGCCCTGTCGCCCAGGCTGGAGAGCAGTGGCACGATCTCTGCTCACTGCAACCTCTGCCTCCTGGGTTCACACCATTCTCCTGCCTCAGCCTCCCGAGTAGCTGGGACTACAGGCATCCACCACCACCCCTGGCTAATTTTTTTTGTATTTTCACCTTGTTAGCCAGGATGGTCTCAATCTCCTGACCTCGTGATTTGCCCTCCTCAGCCTCCCAAAGTGCTGGGATTACAGGTATGAGCCACCACGCCTGGCCTGTTCATTGTTTGTACTCTCTGCATGCAGCCTTTTGCTGACTCTGAAACCTCCCCTCGCTGCTCAGTTCATGGGAACACCTTCTGTTCTGTACACGGGATATTGCCTGATACACGAATTGCTAATAAAAGCCGATTTGATCTTGCAAACTCACATTTGTTGGAATTGTGCTCTAGAAGGCAGCATGGTGCCTTGTAGACCCCAAAGCGTTGTTCACAAAGTGCAACCAGGGCTGGGTGCAGTGGCTCATGCCTGTAATCCCAACACTTTGAGATCGAGGCGGGCAGATCACTTGAGGTCAGGAGTTCAAGACCAGCCTGGCCAACATGGTGAAACCCTATGTCTACCAAAAATACAAAAACAAAAATTAGCCAGGTGTGGTGGCAGGTGCCTGTAATCCCAGCAACTCAGGAGGCTGAGGCAGGAGAATCATTTGAACCCAGGAGGTGGATGCTGCAACGAGCTGAGATCACGCCACCGCACTCCAGCCTGGGCGACACAGTAA